TAATGAATTTATCACCATCGGTCACCAAGGGGAGGAGGGGGTCAAAATTGTCCAAAAATCGATCACGTGATTTATGGACGCTCACTAAGGTAACACGAGCCCAGAGTTTTGGTGTGGACTTTGCGGTTGCGGTACGCATGCGTTCCAAGGGATATAGTTGTTATTTCTAGGCAATAGGTTTTTCTAGGACTCCAAAGTTGTATGTCGTTTGGCACATCTATCTATCTGTAACTTCAGTTTGGAGTCCAAACTTTGGACCATTTATCGTATTCTAGAGGTTGAAGTTCGGTGATGATGAATTTTATTCCTAGTCCAAAATGGAGGCAGGAATTTTCTATTTTCACCACCCATTTACTATTTTGGCTTCATGAGTAGGACTTAAGCCGTCGTTAATAGTAAAGCGCGTAAAATAGTACCGGCGTCGGCGGCGTATGGTCGGCGACGTCGACCTCTGCCCTAAATATTAGAGACATTCTTTAGAAGATATCCATTCGTGTGTAAATATGTTGACAATCCAGGCGAAACTAATTCATTGAATTTTAGTGATTCGAGTAAGTTTGAAAGGATTCTAAGATCTCTCCTAGCGAACAATTCCATTCAGACTTCCATTATTCAATAGTGGTTAAAGCGTTAGTACATACACAACTGTTCCCATTTCTCCATTTTGTCCAATTGGAAAAAATTTAAATATCATTCAGAAATAACAGAGATTTATAATAAAAGTTTGTAGTATGCCATATTCAATCTAGCAATATATAAGTAAGCCTATTTCCTATAAGAAGTAGCTGCCGAGTATGTATAAAAACATTGGTAAACCTGTCATACTTTTCAACGGATTATTTAGAGTGTATACAGCATACTAAACCGCGGAAAAACGATGATGATAAACGACATATGTACATATGAAACTTCATTGAGAAAATGGACTACGGACACGACATGTGACTCCCACCACACGTGCAAGCTCCAGTTGATCCTACATAGGTTTCCATTAAGGTAAACAGGGTTTCGTTTTTCCCGTCAAAAACGATTTTTTACCACGGCAGGTGGGAAAAAGTGGGGAAAACCGGGAAAAACGGTTTTTACCGTCTAAACTGGGAAATATGGCTGTCCATGTATTTAGTTATGGGGAAAGCCAACTTCTTTAATAATCAATATTTCCGGAATTGGACTTCATATTCGTGATTTCCACGAATTTCTGAAAATTTTGATATTTAATACGGGCACTTTTTATCAGTTTTAATTATTTTTCCAATTTTCCCATATGAATGCATGTTAATTTTAGAGATTGTTCGAATTGAACCATATTACCAACTAATTTTCTCAGAATTTGATGGAGAATACGAATATGAAATCAAATTTTGAAAATTTTAAGTTTTAAAGAATGTGTTTCGGATTGCCCCAAAACCAGAGTTTTTCCCATTTCTCCCATTTCCCACCCATGTTGGGTGGGTGGTAAAAATGCCTTTTTCCCACTTTTTCCCGATGCCCTGGTCAATTTGGTTTTTACCAATCGAAACCCTGAAGGTAAACCAGACAGCGATATTCATATTTAGTGCGGTTGTCATTTGTAAAAAAGAATAGATTTGAAAAGATAGGAATATCAAAACTCAGCTTACAATCTGCTCTTCAAGTCCACCAACCAGGAGTGAGGACTATCATGGTATTCCTTTCGCTTCATCAATATATCCATGTGGAATTTTCGATGCACAAGAGCATGTCCCATGAAATTTATTATATTTTTAAACAAAAACATGAATCACATAAATTCCAGCGCATTAAAATTATAATCCTAAGTTTCCTGGCGATGTGTAATCGATTTAAGTAATTTCATGGATTTTAATTTAAATAGTTCGTCAAACAAGTATTCTGTTATTTTTGTAAATATGTATATAAATAAGTTGTAAATAAGTTTTTAAAAAATAAATTAAGATAAAATAAATTAATTATAAATTAAGAAATTACGAAATTAAAAAATTAATTTATTTCTTAATTTAAATTTTAAATTAATTAATTTCTTAATTTAAAAATTAAATTAAGAAATACATTTATTTTTGTTATGTTTATAAATTAGTAAATTTTTAAGGCTCTGTACCAGTAATTCACCACGGTATTTAAGTACCCTTACTACCCAAATTTCTTGGGACTGAAGCACGATAGCATGTTTTGGAAAAAAGTCGTTGGTGGTAAATTTATCAACATATTTTTTAATGAAAATATGATGTCACCCAATACCGCCAACTCTGAGAAAAAATAAAACTGTCATTAATGTTTTAAGAATTTCAAAAGACGTTCAGAATTTTTAGGGCAGTTTTACTTTAATAATTATTGTTTATAGCGGTGGACAGTAGTGTGGCGCAGATGGTATAATAGGTCATAGACCCAGAAAAATGGTGCTCGACGGTTTTTCTTTCAGGAAACTTAGCACTGACCCAATTACGCACTCGTATTTCATCAATATCAAAATTTTGCCAGTTTTTTGGAGTCTCTCATTGATTAATCCACCTCGGCCATAATATTAGCCACAACTTCCAACTCAAAATTCTTTGCAAAATACTCTAATATCGACAGGAACGGGTTTGGAAAAGTTGCATCCGGCTAGTTGTCAAGTAGTCTATAACATTTATGTATTGAAAAAACCTCGAATTTTCTTATTTTGAAACTTTGAATTCATCAAAATGTTCGTATGCATAAGGGAATTCGAAGGCAAAACGCAAGTTTGGGTTTAGTTCTTATTTATTTTTCCTAGTTCATTGATTTTTGACTTCTTAATTTTTGCAAATTTGCTTCCCCATTTCTCCAGGGGGGGGGTTGCATATAATTTTAGAATTAATTAGGTAACTAAGGTCAAAAATATATTTGGGTGTTTAAAGTTGGTACAGAGCCTTAAAAGCGCTCTAACTTTTCGAATTTTAACCCCATTTCAAAATCTAAACCCAATTTTTGCTCAGAATTACTCCACTTAAATCATGAAGATGTAATTGTCGTGACATTTTTAGTGCATTTATTTTTCTGGAGGGTAACATTAGTTTTAAGAGTGTGTCCAATAAATCTTGTCCAGACAGCAAACGAGTTATTGAGTTAAAGAGATAAATCAAGTACTACTGGAATTTGAATTTGAGTTCATTAATGTGTAAGTCAAGCCGTACGTAGCTGACCTGTATATATGCAAATTATGCATGCATGATATCATCTATATTATAATTTCGAAAAGTCCGTCCCGCGAAATTTTCCGTGACATTCCTGCATTCTGATTGGCTGTTGGTTTTCCTGCTCCACCAATCAGGGAACAGATACGAATTATGATTATGATTATAATTATGATTATGATTATGATTATGATTAAGATTATTATTATAATTATGATAATGATTATAATTATGATTATAATTATGATTATAATTATGATTATGATTATGATTATGATTAGAACTTAAAAAAACTTCCTTAGCAACATAAAAAAAATTCCTTAGCAACACAAAAAAAATTCCTTGGCAACAAAAAAAAATTTCCTTAGCAACGTTAAAAAATTTCCTTAGCAATGTTAAAAAAATTTCCTTGGCAACATAAAAAAATTTCCTCAGCAACGTTAAAAAATTTCTCTAGCAACGTTAAAAAATTTCCTCGGCAACAAAAAATTTCCTTAGCAACCTTCAAAAAATTTCCTTAGCAACGTTAAAAAAATTTCCATAGCAACATAAAAAAATTTCCTTACCAGCATAAACAAATTTCCTTAGCAACATAAAAAAATTTCCTTAGCAACATAAACAAATTTCCCTAGCAACGTTAAAAAGTTCCCTAGCAACATAAAAAAACTTCCGTAACAACTTCAAGAAAATTGCTTAGCAAGTCGACAAAATTCCTTAGCAGCGTTAAATAGTTTCATGTGGCCCGTCTTTACGACGGGCTTATAGGCTAGTTTACATATATTTACATATTTACATATTGTCATGGATAGTGAACGATAATAAACCCACCGAATTTACAATGCGATGGTGTGAAGTGTAACCCTCCGATTTGGTTGAAATTTTGAAATAACGTGGTCCAAGTCAATACAACAAACGTTTCTTGAGGCAGTTTGTGCGATGGTCAGAATTTGCCAAAATATTTGAGGTCAAAGTTGAAAAACGGGCGATTTTTAGCATGAGAAGGGAATGGAACTTGAGTTTGCTTCCTCCACCTGCACTCAAAATAATCTGGTGTCAATCCAGCGCGGTGAAGTCACATATAGACACCGCGCGGTGTTAATTGCCCGCATCAACACCGCGTGGTGTCTATATGTGACAACACCGCACTGGATTGACACCAGATTATTTTGACTGTGGTAAAAATTGCCCGTTTTTCAAATTTGACCTCAAATATTTTGGCAAATTCTGACCATCGCACAAACTGCCTCAAGAAACGTTTGTTGTATTGACTTGGACCACGTAATTTCAAAATTTCAACCAAATCGGAGGGTTACACTTCACACCATCGCATTGTTAGTATCATTATGAATCTAAATAAGATATTTAAGAATTAAAGTTTGCAATTTAAATACACCTAAATCCATATCCTGCACTAGACAATTAGGCTGCCTTGGTTTCAATCAGGTATTAAAAATCAAATACATAAATTGTTAAATACTTACTGTATGTGGATAATTTATACTCCATGTGGCGTGCAGATTATATAATGGTTACCTCTAACGTTCATATGATTCTGGTAAAATCTTATGGATCCGCAACTCATTTACATATTATGTTTACAAGAAAATCATGTTTTATGATAAACTATCCACATCGATACATAAATATGCGAAATTTGCGGTATGAATATTCTTATAAATAGGTGTGCAAAATAATTTGAAATAAATTTGATATCAATAATTATAGCGTGTCTAATTTAGCGATGATTTTCGTAATATAAATTAAATTTATCCAACTGTAAAAATTACTAGAAATGAGGGATCAATTTGTAGACGACACAAATGCTAGAAAATAATTGCACACGCGATGAAATAGTCAAAATCCACAATTTGCTATATATTTTGTTCACTTCTGAAAAATCGCAATTACAAACAAACATTTTCGAGTATACAATGATTAAAATCTCACAAGTTTTGTAACATCAAATCTCCTTATCTAATGATTCTCCAACATATTGTAAAAAGGATAAGATTAGCAGATTAAAAGCCTTAATTTCTCGTATGTACCCTGTAGTGTGAAAAATCTAAGCAATTGTCAGAAAAACTTGGAAAACTTTTCTCAATAGCCTACCGTTCGTCCATTATTATTAGCCGTAAAAGTCCGATATTTTTATGAGAAGTTATTTGGCCATATATTATTTAAGTAATTTCGTCATTAGCAATAATAGTAAAACTCTTGTAAAATAAAAAGAAGAAGATGGTGTACAAATTTATGTTCACAAAAATTTGTTTTACCCGCCGGGTAACCTTTCAGAATTTTCTGCGACTGATAATACTGGATGAACAGTAATTTTTGCGAAAGAGTAAATTCATATTTAAATAGATGAGCCTGTTATTACTTTCTCTTTTTGCTGCCTAGAAACCAATTGGATAATGACAAACACTGTGACCTTGAAAAATTCCACCCCATCGTCCTCCCACGCTTTCACATTGTGCTTGCGTTTCTTGTCCCGGACGATAGTAGCGATTGTTGTTTCCCGCATAGCCAGGAGGAACGCTGCAAATGTCGGCAAATTTTATTTTTTGAATTACTGAACTCTTACAAAACTGGTATTACATAAATCATTACCGACCGGAGTACATATGTGATTCTACCGGCACTGGTACATATTAACGGGAATTACCGTTCAATAATGTTGTGGCAATGAACATTATACTACCAATCCGGGAAGAAGTTATTACCAAATCAATACCAGTACGTAGGATTCTACCAGATTTTTAACAATTTGCACATATGTAACTAATGTCAAATTACCATCCTCCATAAATCATAAATGGCCATTGTTGCCTAGATTTTCGGATTCCAGCCCTCCCTGCAGAATTAGAAGGCACATCACCCATTATTTGAGTGTTTCCTCTCCTCTAAATAATTAAAAAGTAGTTGAAACATTTTCCACTTTTTTTAAAATTTTTAAAATAATGTGCATCAACCATTCCATTCTCAGGTTCCCCCCCAAATTCCTTAAGAGGTGCACTTGCGCAATTTTTCAAACATAGAGTGATGATAATCAGAGCGAGTAACTGAATGAATTAAAAATCTTAATATGTAAGTAGTACTTTAATAATTTGTGTTATTACCAATTTATTCCTCATGGCCAGTCCTGAAGTAAAATACAAAATCTATGACAGATAATTATGTGAGCGTCCTTCCAACTTCTCCGATGGTGTAGGAATGGGTTTTAGATTCTTGACCCTCCCAACAGTGAAGAAACTGGTTTATGTACATCCTGATTTGACAGTTTGTTAAAAATTCGGGTCATTAATTCCCTCATATTTTTTTATTTTTCAGCAATCTACATAGGTGGAACAACTATACACGTAAATACAAGTTTTGTCACAAGAAATACATCCGTGCTTAATCTCCTCATCTTAAACACTTATCTTCAACTATACATATTTATTACTACATACACACAAAAATCAAGGTAATTGAATTGAAGAGTCCAGCTCATTGAGAGGTCATGAATCTGGTCGCGTACGTACATACATATATTTTAGTAAGGATGAGGTACATATGTATTCAAAGAAGAAATTACTGCATCTGCACACTAATGCTATGAAAACTGGTCGGGGGGAAAAGCATTATAAAATGTTATGTAACGTGGGCATGCTTAATACTTATTCGTACTTTTCAGATTTCTCACACGTTACACCATGAAGTGAGTTTACATATGTGCGAAAGTTTATAGAGGTAGTCAGGGCTAAATATTATGTAGATTAAAATCATTTCGGATTACAATTTAAGAGTTTGAGTTGACAGATCAATTTCTCGGATTTATGAGTTAGGCGATTTTTTCTAGCAAAAATAAAACCTCAGATGTGAATTGTAGTCATGACGACGTTGTTCCTATTTTAACACACCTTGGAACAGACTATTAAACACAAGAAGTGTTAACGAATTTTTAAGATTTTAGACGTAAAACAACGAATGTCCTCGATGCAAAACAAAATTTTTCTCGGTGATACACGATGTGGAATTGCTCCTTACTTATTTGTTGACACCGTTTTATCATCCCGCAACCCCAAAGAAGAAATATTTTAATATTCAGATTCATGACAAGGAATTTTTGGAATACATTTTTTAAATTTTTTAAATCGCATTTTTTCGCACTTTTTGCGCATATTTTGATTTTTCCTGAAAAATTGTGACTGTGACTGTGAAAGGATTTTTTTAAGTAAAAATGATTTACTCATTAATACCTACAAATTTGTATGTGAGTCGACCCTAGGTCATTCACTTTGAATAACAGGGACTTAGGGTACCATACGGTCAGTGTTTCAGGTGCAAGTAACCACCTGCAAGAAATAACCGCAAGAAATTGGTTTCTTGCAGCTATTTTTACCCGCAAGAAATGCAAGTGCAAGAAACTCCTTCGCGCCGCCATAGTTCTGAAGGCGCGTCGCTAGATGACGCTGTGTTTCTTGCACTTTCTTGCATTTCTTGCACCTTGCATTTCTTGCATTTCTTGCTTTGCAGTGCAAAAAATGAGAAAAACCCGCAAGAAACGAAAAACTGCATACGGTAGGTAGGTGGTTACAGGGAGCGGTACACCCCTGACAGTCGCCATTTTGAAGATCGGTCATCAATGGGTAAAGTAATGCAAAATTTGGTTGCCAATGTTGTTAAGCATTAAGAGGTCGGCCAATAAGTTTTTCAGCAAAAATTGGCTTTAATATTAATGCCAGCACCATAGGAAGTTTGGCTTTCCGTCTGAATACCTTTAGAAAACGTGCTGATGACGAAATGACTAATTTCTTCCATTCGTACCTATGACTCTCAATCATAAATGCCACCAAAGCAATACTAATCAGCGCACCAGAGAGCATAAAAATTGTCACAATTCCTCCATCCATCTCCAAGGGGGCAACCGGTCTATGAATCGTATCGTTTTCAACCGGTTTCCTCCACAGCCACATGTTTCTTGCCTTTTCAATCTTTAACCGGGAATATATCCCTGAGTGTACCAGACCCTGAAAATTTCTCTGAACAGCTGATACGCTGCTTGACTTGCTACTACGGCCGCCACCTTGGAACCACCACCCATACCAGTTCGAGGCTACGAGGTGCTGCCCTGTATGAAATTCCTTAGATGGGTAATTTTTAGAAAGAAAACTCATCTCACCCCTAATAGACTCTGACGTGGCAATGAAGGCGCTTTTTCTCCGACAATTTATAGCATCTCGCTCTGCCATGGCTTGTAGTTCAATAACGGAATAATTTCGACGTCTCAAATCCATCTCTGCCGGTATCGTGTCATGGATTGGATTCATAAGTAGAAGATAGAGAAGATTATTTTTCAAAAAATTTGGACGAATAATTTTTCTGTCGATTAGATGGCTGAAGCCTGAATTAAATTTAAAATGTGAGAGGAGTAAATGGTGCCACGTGTAAGTTCCAACCTGTACCAGTTTTCCATGCTGCAGCGTCGGTGTTCGAAATGAGGACGAAAGCAATTTGTAACAATTAGCCGACGCAAAAGGGTTTCTGGATCTTGGAATAGGATCAGAAATAGGGTTCATCTTCCCCCAATACTCTTTATAGTTTTCAAATTGCATAGTTTCCGCCCAATTGGTAGAATTACCAGACGGTGCGGGTAAATCCAACATGTGTCTGTTATGACAAATAAGACCTTCAAAGCTTTGGGATCGCTTTTGCTTTAGCGGTGCGTTCAATTCGGTAATCATTAACCCGCTGTAACAATTTGTAAATAGCAGTAAGGCGGGTGCCCATGTAACAAATACGAGTCGATAGAACAGCGAATTTCCAACAACATCCGGCACAGAAGAGGAATCATCCAGTAATACAGAAATGAATGATAGCCAGACCGAGTAAGGGCTTCGTTTATGCTGCCTTCTCATGTAGAAATATAAAACGAGAAACGTTATGGCCATACTAATAATGAAGGCAATCCATAATTGCGGCTTGAAGGGCATCAGGTAAAAATCGAATGTAATATACGATTCGGAATAACAGCTTAAAAATTGTAATCCGCTGTGGTGAGTGAATTCATTAAGTCTCCCGTACGGAATTCCGTCCATTTCAGCTTCAATACCCAGCCTGGCATAAGTACCTCGCATATTGTCCAAGCGCAAAGACGCATTGGTCCTGGAAACAATCGACACTGCAATGTAGAGTGGAATGAAGACGGAGAACCCAGGAGTGAAAGGATTTATCGAAGGATGTGGTATAAATTTATTGTTGAATGCTAGATGACTTTCAATCGGATGGAGGGAAAAGTAATCTCCAAACCAGATTTCCGGAGATACTGCCACCTCTAAGTACGCCTTCAGAATGTTAGCTCCACCTTCACTTCTACAAGTGTACCTGTCACTACGCGTAATGCGGTATCCGCTGCGTCGCACGCACAATTGGGCAGCTCTGGTTTCCAATTTTTGTAGCAAGATTAGCACAATGAAGTTCTCCACGTTTCCATCATTAACCTTGAATGAATTTAGAGCTTCCTCAAAACCCATACTCGTTGTGATAATGGGGAACACATTTTTCGTTGTTCGTATAAAGTTCCAATAGTCTCCTTTAAATTTGATTTGACCGCATTTAGTGCAACGGAAAGCGTAATGTCGTCTTGTACTTAGCTCTAGCCAGCCTGTAAAGTCCAGATGTACGTCGGTCCGAATCGTTTCCTCTGTTCGAAACATTAATGTCCAAATCAAAATGCTCAGTTTATCCGGTGCTTGACGACTTTTGAAAATGTCGATAATAAGATTTTCAAGCTTTGGTGCATTCCCTGTTTTATGATTACTCGGCATAAGTATTACCGTAGTGGGAAGAAAAGAATTTTCTAAGAAGCCAAACCTATCAGATGAAGTGGTATCGTGCAAGATGTGCACGTCACAGTTTTCGATGCCGTCCAGGATATTTTTTGTGAACCTTATTTGGTACCCGTTCTTACAACAGGATCCTCCTGTAAGGAATACTAGCGAAGTTAACACGCACATAAAAACCTGGGACATGGTCTCAGAATTCAGGAAATTTATTAACTTTCCCACAAAGCCTGGATATGCAAGGGCTAACGAAGAACTTCGCCGAATAAGGCTACGATTACATTTTTTCACTTATATAAAATTTCTCTATCCTAACTATCGTGATATAATTATATACTGTCCGTATAAATTCTCGCGTGCGTTCAACTTAAATTAATTACATTTACTTACATATAGTGTTCCAGTCTATTCGTGATTCGCAGTGGCGTGTACCAATGCCAAATACTTACAAGGTGAAATATTTCATCACTTAACACTATACATACATATAAGTTAAAAATTCCGATATCAACTAAAGCTTGTCGTGTTGGTCGGGGGAATTGGAGAAGAAAAAAACGTATGTATCTGGTACATACATATTTAATTACAACCGTCTACAACTTACATAAATTCATACGTGTCATGTTACTGAAAAATTCAAAACAATAATTTTGAAGTAAAGATCCTTAATTACACTCCGCGACAAAAGGTTAAAGGCACCCTGCGTCATGATCACATCCCTTGACCCCTTGAACCACGGTCGACGAATCATATTTCCTTTAGTAGCTAACTAATGTAAACAATTAAATAATACAGAAAATCTACCAATTAAATTCCCATGAGGGGAAAATGAGACAAATTTCAAAAATCGGAAAATTCATGCGCGTCAAAAGGTTAAAGGTACTTCGTAAAAATCACCCAAATTACTTTTTGAAAAATAATTTAGTAATGGTACGTTCCACCATGATTAGAGATGACTTCAAACGTCCATTTGGAAAAGATTTAAACCGCTTACTTATCTCAGATTGGGCGATTTTTCGTAATACCTTGACAAAAGCTTACTTTAGGTCATATACGGTTTTAAACTGCTTACTCTATTGAGGTTAATGTTCCTCGGAGATTCTCTATGATGCATAGGTCAGGCGACTTTACAGGGTAATCCAAAATCCTTATCTTTGTCGCAGAAAACAAATCTTTCCTTGGCTTGGCTATGTGGATGCCAGCGTTTTCTCGTTAAAAACTTCACCTAAGGCTACTAAGCTTTTTTTTGACGGGCATTTCGACTACTGCAGGAGTCACTAGACATCGACGAACCGCTAAACGTGTTTTAGAAAGTTCCCCATACCTAACACACATGAAAACGGGCGATTTCCGTAGGTGTTGCAACGTCGCAAATTTGCCAGACCGAAATTCTCGAAGAAACACATGTCTTGACACAAGAATTAGGTAAAAGGTATTTTCAGTGATATAAAGAAATTCAATTGACATGGTCCATATGCGTTATCCAGCTAGTGGCATGATCTTCGCAAACAGGAAACCATACTCTCAAAACGTCAAATGCGATGAGGCAGCGTGAAGGGGTAGGTGGCTATTGGATCCAAGAAAAAAATGACACGGTTTTCTGCATCACAGAACTGAATCTGTTCACTTATAATAAATGTTGGGAAACGCAAATTTTGATGGAGGAAAGCAGTTGGGTGACCCAGTATGGATTTTTGAACAAGAAAAAGGTAGCATCCATACATCGAAGCCAAGGAAAGATTTGTTTTCTGCGACAAAGAGAAGGATTTTGGATTACCCTGTAAAGTCACCTGACCTATGCATCATAGAGAATCTCCGAGGAACATTAACCTCAATAGAGTAAGCAGTTTAAAACCGTAAATGACCTAAAGTAAGCTATTGTCAAGGTATTACGAAAAATCGCCCAATCTGAGATCAGTAAGCGGTTTAAATCTTTTCCAAATGGACGTTTGAAGTCATCTCTAATCATGGTGGAACGTACCATTACTAAATTATTTTTCAAAAAGTAATTTGGGTGATTTTTACAAAGTGCCTTTAACCTTTTGACGGGCATGAATTTTCCGATTTTTGAAATTTGTCTCATTTTCCCCTTATGGGAATTTAATTGGTAGATTTTCTGTATTATTTAATTGTTTACATTAGTTAGCTACTAAAGGAAATATGATTCGTCGACCGTGGTTCAAGGGGTCAAGGGATGTGATCATGACGCAGGGTGCCTTTAACCTTTTATCGCGGAGTGTCGTTGATATTGATTATACATTAATCGCATAAACACTTTGCTACCACTTGGTAGAAGAAATTGTAGCAAAGCCAAATTTTCTACGGCTAATGGTAACATCTATTGTTACCACACATGCGGTAATGCACAATATTATGATTTTATTACCAGATAGATTTTTAAGTGTGTATACATTTCCAAATTTATTTATCTCTTATGCACTTTTTGATTTGAAACTTGCATATTTGGTCACTTGCAGGACAAACTAAGAATGGTGTGGTTGCCCCTTTTCGTCTTGAGGATGTGGTCCGTTCCGGTCCCATTGTCCGCGTAGACGTAGAACCAAGTAATATTTCCATTCGGACCTTGAAGTACATCCCCAGGCTTTATCGGATAAATCATGTTTCTGGCCTCGTTTTTTTCAAGCAAATCCCTTGTGCCCACACGGGCCGTCCCAAGTTTCTGTTTGTGGGGAATGATTAAATCATGTCAAGGTTAGGGTATGACCAGGGTTCGGAAAACCCCGGGGTTTTTCTAGAAAAACCCAACCCCGATGGTTTTTCCGGGGTTTTTGGGTTTTTTTGTAGGTTTTTGGGTTTTTGTGGGTTTTCCAGATTTTGGGGCAGGTTGAACCAAAATTCGTAAAATTATATATTAGAGAAAAATTAATTTCATAAACGAATTCAGCATGCAACTTTAACAGTTATCATTGACTTGGACTGTTAAATCGAAAATTTATGTTTAACATGTAAACCTGGATATATGCAATCATACTTGGAAATTCAAGTCGCACTTGAAATTTCTCAAAATTTCATGATGAATCCGAAATTTTAATTACCATTTATCTAAGTTGTTGTTTAAAAGATTTTGCTTTAATCTACCCCAAAATCTTACAAAAACCCCGGAAAAACCCACAAAAACCCACAAAAACCCGCAAAAACCCCATTAAGCATTAGGGTTTTTCTGGAGATTTGATACCCCAAAAACCCCCAAAAACCCCAAAAACCCCAACCCACAAAAACCCGGGGTGGCGAACCCTGGGTATGACTGGTTTAAGGGTTACAACGATACTTACGATTGGCACATTAAAAATATGTCAGACCTTGTCCGCCATGAGGAAAGGTTCCTTCTCGTACACGATAAAGAACAGGGTCTAAAGTAAAAGAAAAATTGGGAAAATTATCATCAAAACAAAGCTTTTTGCAATGGTTTCCAAATCTCGTTAGTTATCAGTTGTCTTTTGATATGCCCCATTCCCCATCTATCCAATTCCTTAAAAAGAAGGTCAAATCAAGGGGTAACTACATACACTCAAAACAAAAATTTGTTAAATCAACACCGTCGGTGTCAATCTGACTTAACCGCCTTGGTGAAAATGTTGAATCCGAGTTATAATGATTTCGATACCGGTTGTTATAATGTTATGACCGGACGGAAAAATTTCATTACCACCCGGAATCACAATTGTAACCAAGGCGGTTAAGTCATTCATTGACACTGGCGGTGTTGATCTGACAAATTTTTGTTTTGAGTGTATTTAGTTATCTCTTGATTTGCCCCACTTTTTAAGGATTTTGATAGATGGGGACTGGGACATATAAAGATACAACCACCATTGACTGATAACTAACGACCGATACTTCAAGATTCCGTGTTAAATACCTCAGATAATCACAGTTATCGTAGAAATTACAATTCTCACCTCATAAGGACCTCCATAGTTGTACGTGTAGACTTCCGGGAAGACGGGGTGGTACGAGTCCTGCACGTGGCTGGTCGTTCGGGTGCAGCCCGAGGACATTTCGTAAGTCACATATGCCGTGATTTGCACCGAAACGTAGAGATCTGAAAAGAATAATTGCACTGACATAAATGAAACCTTCTTTCAAGCTAGGTCGGGATTGTGTAACGAGTCATATCAAAAAATCGAGCCAAAAATGAGGAATCACATGGCGCTAATCATTCCGTTGAAGAAAAATATTGAGGGTCAAAGTCCCCAAGGTTTCGTGGTAGAAAAGGGAGAGAACATTTAATAAAAAATTGAACTTTACCGCCAATATTGAAAAAATATATTCAATGTGGTTCCTAATTTTTGGCCTGATTTTTTGGAATAGCGCTACATCCGTCTTTGGAAATAATGGTTCCGAACAGGGAAAATGAGGCGAAATGAAACATAATTCATTATGGCGGGCCTTCTTTGAAAAATTACCTGGCTTGCTCAGAGTATCCGTTTTCGGGGCGTTGCTGAGACAAAATTTAGAAAAAAAAACATTTATGTATCACCACAATAAATTTATTTTCCAAAACTACAAATTTGTAAAAATTTCTACGCCCTTTTCTTGAAATATTGAAGCGCTCATTTTAATTATTTTGTACACTTACTGTATTTCAAATCGGACATTCATAGAGCCTGGTTTGGAGATGTAGCGGCCAGAAATATGTCCAGACAGCGTAGTGACGGCAACAAATACCAAAAAATACATGTTCATTTCGTTCCCCGCCATACTTTGCAAACTAGTCTGCTTCACGATTGGAATAGAACTGCGGAATGTTATTGTAACTCAGTAACATTCGCTAAATATTTCGTCCCGATCGCCAATCTGATGACACGGCTATCGGTTTTGTTCCATCTATCGTTTTCTCTCTCTAACGCGAGGATATTGACCCCGCAAACTTCACATTTTTCATCGATACATAATTCCCAATTTCTATATAAGTTATGAAGATCCCCTTGTTTGGGTGAGTCCTCGATTGCCAAAAATCTCGAACAAGTTGCGCAACAGTTTTAGCCTAATGTTTGTCGGGTTATTGGTTACATAAATCTGTATAAATTTGCATATTAAAAAGACACAATTGCCTACGTACGTACTTGATGCATCCTGCCATTGTTGTGAAAACTGTGGCGAGAACAATTAAAGAAACTGTTTTACGATCACTCCTTTACTTCCCAGCACCTTGGATGACGGAGCACGAATTACGCAATGTTTGGTAATGTGACGCAGCCAAGCACAATTTTATTTCATGTCCAGTGCCCCATAAATATGGAACTTTGAAAAAAATTATTCTCAGAGATACGATCGTAGTGATGAGTTGAGGATTGTGGAAAAAATCTGAGCTACTTAAAATGGTGCTTAATTTTTGAAGGCGGGGTAAAATTCGAGAAGTGATAACGATTTAAAAAATTCAGATTATTGTTGAAATTTTTTAAAAATTGCGCCAAAACATGCGCATTCTGGAAAACGCAAAAATGCGAGTGGGCTTATTGCTGAGCGTGAACAGGTAAAAATTAGGATCTGCTCAAGATCTTTGATAACCAACTGCCACCTTGCCCTTGTGAATGGATGAGTACGAGGATATTGCGAAACACAGGATGCGGTGATAATACAATTTGTCCGACTGTAGAGGAATGACTAATGACGAATTTTGAATACAACATAAAAATAAAATTCTATTGTTCCAATTTCATCTATTCTGTTGATTCCATACAACAATTCAGACACTTGAACGGACGGAAGTGATGGTCTCCTCCGTTGCGGCGGCGTTTGCGGTCTTGTGTAAGCCCATAGAAATCATTAATTCAAAGGGAGCGTCCATAAATCACGTGATCGATTAGAGGGGGGGAGGGGGTCTGAAATTTGTCACGAATTATCACGGGGGGGGGGGGGGGGGATGGTCAGATGTCACGTGACATGAGTAAAGTTTTTTGCCAATAAATGTCATGAGAGTTTATATCGTGCGTGTGGTATGATACCACACGCACGTTATATAAATTTGATTTTCATTTTGCATATTTATAAACTTGCTTCGACCTAAATTCTTATGTCTGACTGGCGTATTAAATAGTTATTTACACATGTGTGTAATGTAGCTCTAATTTGATTAATGATTTAAAAAATATTGTTATTCCGGACATGATTTAATTTGAGCATCATCTCGTGTCACGTGACCGGTGGGGGGGGGGGTAGCGAAATTATCACCACCGGTCACCAAGGGGGGGGAGGGGGTCAAAATTGTCCAAAAATCGATCACGTGATTTATGGACGCTCTCAAAGGGCAAATATTAATGGTGACCCTAAATGACTGAATGGGATACCCTAAAAACTAAACCCTACGGTGGACTGAATTGCCTTCCCTAACTTGCCAATGACCATCCTTATTTATCGTAAACTTTACCCTAATTTCCCAATATATTTTAACTAACTAAATTATAGTTCATATGCAAAGAAAAGCAAAAAGAAATTATATGATATGACAAATTAAATTATATGATAGGTCTAATACGTAGCGAATAAAGGTTCATACTACTTTTACTCCTTGATAAGTTCGCTGCCACTTCACTTTATTCCGACAAATTGTTAATGTAGAAAGTACTAAAATATGAGTAAATTCGAAACGCTAAAAAGTTCCGATTCGGAGTCATCTTCTGAAGAACATATTTCTCTATGCAATTGTCCAATATTTAAAAAACAGTATATTTGTAAGCATGAAATCGGAATAGTACACATTCGCAGAGATTTTAATATCTCGGATAGGTGCAAAAATGTACCCTTTGGGTCAAAAACCAGGTCGCCCAAAGACATGCAAGCGAGTCCATGTTGTTGACTGAGTTTGCATTACTTAATTTATGAACTAATTCTAACAAATGGTTTTAATAAATGATAATCGAGATGTAATTTAGTTAAAAATGATGTAAATAAATGATTTTTAACTATCAGAATTTTAGTGTCGAGATTCAGTTATTATTTTGTTCGACCAGTTAGGGAAGGCTATTCAGTCCACCGTAGGGTTTAGTTTTTAGGGTATCCCATTCACTCACTTAGGGTCGCCATTAAATGCGACCCTAATTCAAATAGTTATCCTCTATTTCTAATCCTTTTAGATACCTGTTATTAATCGTATCTGCGCATTTAGCGAGAATTTATTTCACCAGCAAAGTTTTCAAATTTACATAAGTGTTTCGCCTTTTAATCAACTAATCGCACATCCAATAAGTTATTCAAGCAAACTGAGAACGAGCTTTACCCACTGCTAGATATGTTACTGACCACCCTGGAGCTCCTAATCTACCGCTGTGTTAAGTTCTGGATGCTTGAAATCATGAAATTCATTTTGTGAATTTCAAAAATTTCCGTGGCTTCAAAAAATTAGGAGACTTTTAGCGAAATTTGTTTCCAAAAATATGCATTTACCCGTGTCTGTCCTAAAAATCGCCGACCTAAGGATTTTTTCCAACTTCGAGCCATTTCCCCTCCGCCAAAAGGCCAAGTAATTCTAAAATATTCTTACGGTTTAACTCATAAAAATCAGCTCTAAAAACGCTGAGAATCTTACCTGCTTAAACCAACGTTTGTTGTGTCTGAATCGATTCCGGTTTTCACTACTGTTAGTCTACAGTAATCTTGTAGTTTATCTAAAAAGATTTTAGATTAATTAAGAAATATTTGTGGTATTTTACGAAAAGTCCTGAACTGACTCTTTCCCCCTATGAGGGGGGTAGGAAGGAACATTTCAAATTCTTTAAAAATTTGAAATTTCCTGCGTTCAGTTGATTTTTGCGGGATTTTCGAGCATCTTCGTACGTTCTCAAGTACAAAAATTATTCCGTGTGCACAAGGGAAACCAATTGATTTCAATTAAAAACTTTTCGAACCGGGAACAACAATGGCCACATTAAACCGTCTCAATTCAACCTTAATCGTCTTATTTTGCACTGCTAACTTTATCTGTGTTCAACTAAAGAATGCACCTCCCGTTATAAATTTCTCATCCGTCTTATGGCCCCACACCGTTTGCCGATATCACCTAGTTTTCAACAAGATTTCCTCCCACAACTTACCCACCACTCGCAATGTCCCTGTCACCCTGACCGAACGCAGCTTTCCAGTCGTTCCCATTCCTACCGTACCAACCAATCTCTCTGCACGACTTTATCTATTCCGAAACCGAGGCTGGTTTTGCGAAATCGTTTTTCTATTCGTGTCCATAAATCCACCAAATTATACAAAATCCCACGAAAATTCGCTAGGATATTGGCTTACTACCCAAAGCAAATACTACATCAGACTAAACGAGGAAACTTATTTGAGTCAAATGTATCCAGATTTTTTTAATTTTGTCCTAATTCCAAGTACGCCCAAGGCATTGGCATCCTACATGAATTCCCCCTTGTATTTTTCACTAATTATGGATTTGCTATTCCACGTGAACTTTGCAGTGTTACTATTCCTCCCTGAAAATAGGGTGAGAACCTGTCACCAAAAAAGTTTTGTTCCAATTCTACAAAACTTTCTCTGTATTACTGTAACTTCAAGCAGAGATGTCATTTTATCGCCAAATTTCATCCCGCCAACAATATTAGAAAAGAATTGGCTCGATTTATCGCACAATCATACAATCTCAGAAATTTTAATTGTTTCGGCACTAAAGAAAGTTAATGCTACCCGACGTTTCTCCAGGGTTAGTACTGAATGCGAACCAGTCCCCATGGAATCCTGCTTCTATCCGATGTACCGCTACGAAAGTCAATGGCTGGGGGGCGGGGATGAACAAATTGTAGTCACAAATTCATTCAGCTTCGCATTTTTCTCTTGTTCCCACTTCTCCAAGGGGGTTTCGTTTTCCTTCTATTTCGATCCTTTCGATTCATTCGTCTGGATCGTCACAGTTATCACGCTTTGCTTATCAAGTTCCCTCCTTTCGGCAGGATTTTACCTTTTGAACCAACAATTCTACCTGCTTGAAGTATTCTTATACTTTTTTGGTTGTCTGATCGACGAGGTGAGTCACCTTCCTGCAAAATTGAGCAATTTTCTACCCTTCCGATTCTTATCTATTCCCTGGCTCTTGGTCGGCATGCTGTTAAGCACGTGCTACTTGAGTATTTTCATTACCAATTTAAACTCACCGCTTCCCGGGGAACGAGGCGACACGTATGAGAAAATTTCCTGTCAGGAAAAGCCACAAAGAAAGGTTAACCACCAAATGGTCGAGGGCAGATTATACGCTATGATACACATCAACAAAAACGCAACAAAAAGTTTCAGAATTGTCCCGATTGTGCAGAATTTGGGAGGATTCTGCTCCGCAATACTGTCTGAATACAGGCCAAAGTTGGGAAGAAAGAATTCCATGGATAGTTACAAATTTATTGACTACTTTTACAACGATGTTTACTATATTTATCGTATTTTGCAGTATCCCACGCATTTGATGGGGTTACTGTATTCCACGATGAATCCAAGGATTCGCTGGTATCCGAGGAAATTCAGATATGTAGACGATAATGTAACCACTAGCCAAGTAGATCGCGCGATTGAAGAGGAACTCTTGCAGTGCGAGAGGTCTGCCTACATGGGACCGATGAGTGAGGTCGCTCCCTACTTTGAATATGTGAAGATAAATTACCCAGGTAAAAAATGGTATCGCGGAAAGAAAGCAATTTTTCACAGCCCGATCGGATTTGCTCTTCAGAGTTGGCGGGAGACACGGATGCTGCAATATCTTAAAATGTTTTTTACTTCAGGCATTTACAACCAGGTGTCTAGTCAGATAAGTCTGAACGCGACAATATTGCGAAACAAACGTGAAAAATTTCGCTATGCAACTACCGGATTTCAGGCGGTCAAGTTAGGTGACAGTATTCAAAGTATTTTCATTCTACTCATCACTTGTCTAGCGGCATGTTTGGGATTGTTGGTGGTCGAGCATACGAAATACAATTGGTCAAATATCGGGAAAAAGGTTAGATTAATTTGGACGAGATTCTCTAAAATCGTGCAATTCAAGCGTCACAAGAAAGTCCGACGTAGAGTTAAGGTACGATCGAATAATTGATGAAATTCTGGTATCGCAAGATTGAACAATCCATAATGGAACAGGTTATCCAGATTAGATGTGCAAGGTATGTGTTAAACAAGCGTAAATATGATAACATTACTAAATGATATTGGTAGGCTACATATTCAATGTACCATTTAAAGCCATTCTAATCATGAAAGCGGTGAGTTTTATTTCTCATATATAAGCCTAATTTATTATCCAGTTATTTTAAAGTGCTCTGATCGCGTGATTGTGCATAATATATGATTCTACCAAGTTTGAGCCAGGAGTAAAGAATTCATTGTGATCATAACCCTGTCTGTCCCCTCGTTATGTGCAACCGCAGCATTCTTATTAATGACCAATGCCTAATTAATAAAGGCTGAGGTAGGCTGTTATAGAGAAAAAATAGATAAATAGATTTTTAGTAAGATTTATGATTTGGTGCAAATAAATGCTTTTAGAGTAAAGTGTAGTACACCGAACGGATTTTTCGCGGGAAATACATGCATGGGTTCAAATGAGAATAAAAGCTAGCGTCACATTTTGGTATATACTTCGTAGCGAAACCCAAGTAATTCTTGTGAAGGAGATGTTTAAGATACAAACTTCGCTCACCATAAATTACATCCTATTCCCCAAAGATTTTCCCAGTAACGTTGGTGATGGACTGTTGTTGCAGTAAAGTTGGAAAACTATCTTCATCTACTTCTGCGCCGTCCTTATCTTCGAACGAAATTTTCGCATCCAAATCTAGTAAAAGCTTTTGTTTGAGTGTAAATATAGAAAAAATGACATTACGGTTTAACGGCCTAATCAATTATGTATTAAAATGAATTACCTGAAATGGAGAATAATCCTAATCTCCAATTATTTATATTTTTTTCTCTGATAGGATGCGAAACTTGAACAAATTTTGCAATTATGCCAGAGGAGAGAGAAAAACGTTTGCGAGAAAAGTCTACCCCCAATTAAAGGATGCGGTGGGCTTTAAGGAGACAAGTTGCCACTCACAGGAAATAAGTTTGAACACGATTTCCGAGTTTGAAGACGAGTTTGAAGACGAAGAAACGGATAGGTGTCATAGTGTAAACATGTATATTGTTTGTGCGGGGGTTGTAAGGTCTGGTGGTTCCACCCGTGGCACCGCGCGTCAGCCGCCGTCACCCCTCAGTGTGCCTCGTAGCGACTACGATTCCATGGTATGGCACGATACTGTGGGCGTCCACATGCAGCGGAGAGGTGGGCTATTAGAACGCATGCCCGACTACCACCATGATCGATAATAAGGTCATAATTTGGGTGAACTGAGGAGTAGGATGTCAGGTGTTGTCATTAGCCAATGCGGCCCAGATTAGCATATGTGGTACACGGTGAATATGGAGAACGACGACTTCAAAAACAACGAGACTAGTTCGCGGAGGAGGATCTGGAAAGTGGCGCTGTTCGTCGATCTCCATGGACACTGCTCATGGAGTCAAAAGACGACAACAACATCCTTATATGTCCACAGTACACTGCAGTGTACCAAATATGCTGATCTGCGCCCCACTGGCTGCTGACAACATCTGACATTCCAAGAGTGGGAAATCGTATCGCGGAGGGCGACGATTCACACAAGTTACATGTGAACACCGAAATAACAGACAAATTACACGCCAATTTTTTTCCTTACAATATTTCTACACACTTTTGCAGTAACCTTTCCTAAAATATGTCTAATTTCTGCCATAAATTTTATCAATGCAATTAATAAGATTATTAAACACAAAAAGAAAACAGCTTTCACTGATTCAAACGGGATCGGAATTTCCTCCTGGATCGGGATTTTATGCTCATCATAGCTCGAAAAATACCACCGGTATCTCGGGTTTTTCGAGTGATACAGTTGCATCGCAATTGTTTTGCTATCTTCCAAGCTGGCCCACCTCTCCGCCAAGCCCATTGCTTCCAAGTGGGAAAGCGTTTTTTGAAAAACTGGCGAAAGGAAATTGCTGTACCCGGTGTCAATCGTAATAAAATTGAATGGGTTATTATCGTCCTTTCCGTCAATGACGAGGCGGCCCCCATAAATTTTGATTAATTCCGTCAAAAACTTAATATTCACCGTGTCATCCATCACAGCAAAAGTGCGTTCCGTAGGAAAAGTTGTGTCCGGATATGGCGCAGGTTTAGAGGTTATAATGTAGCTTAGCAATCTTAGGATGTCCCGAAATGTGGTGCCAATATCCATAAATTGTAATTTGTCATTTAATTTGGAACACACCGCGAAGAAGTTGCTGTTATTTTCGAACTTTTGCATAAATAATGGTATAATGCTCGTTTTTAGAGTTGAGATCTGCCGATTTCCACTCGACTTTGTGGTAATGCTGCTCCGTGTAAGGATTGGTAAGTTAGAGGCAACAAGTTGTGCTAGGGAAGTTGGCACAACGGGTAGTTTGGTGGCGGTCAAATACGAGTAGATCTCCCCCCTGTACAAGTTGTTCGTAATTATGTAGTACCCCGCTAACAACCAAACCGTAAGAATAGGCGCGGCGATCGTGTTCCTGCCGCAAAATAGTTTTAAACTGTTCCCATTTGTCTGCCCGAGTAGGACAGAAATGACGATAATCAAATCGTCAAGGACGCCCGCGGCTGTGACAGTTTTGTCCTTACTAAATTGGCCCAGAACGGTAACGACGATACAAAAAAATAAATAAAGTGAGCCACACTTGCCCCGAAAAGGGCAGCAGGAATACATACATTCCCTGAAATTCTGCACGGACATGGGTAACAACGGAGAATCGTATCCGATTGTAGACGAATTTAAAGACGTCGCTGTGTTCCAAAACGACGTTGTATACGTAGTCATCAAATATCGAAGTAGGGTAAAAAATGGACATTGGATTGTTGGATTGGGTACGCCCTACGATGGAAAAATTGTGAACCCTAGATAAAAATAATATTCTACAGGTACCAATTGATGTACCGATCTTCAAATTGAAGAAATGTACACTACAATCAAACTTATCGAGACGATTTCTTGTATCCACTTCGACATCGCTCTTTAGCAAGTTGTTATTTAGGGAATTCCACGTAAGGGCAAGTTTTGATAGGGAAAAATCTTTCGTGACCATCAAAACAGAAGGAGACACTATAGCCGATATAACACAGGGAGTTAGGACGATTTCAGGCTGGTAGAAATTAGTTAGAATCAATTTCGAAGTTCCAGAATGGATGTGATATTTCCCGTAATTTATTGGGTTCCATGGATCTTCACAATGTTGAAAGATGAATTGTGGATTAAAATACGTTACGACTATATTTTGCAGTAGCAGATGGGCCGGGGCACCACGGTAGGTTTCGAGGAGTATGTCACCGCTTAGATGGAAGAATGTCACTAATGGTTTTTGAGATCTGGGGAGAATTTCTAAACGAGATAATATGAGGAGTTGGGAAGGAGTCAGTAAAAAATGATGGAATAAGATTGCCGAATATGGATTGTTTTTAATAAGTGTGTGAAAATATGAGAGCTCCTGGTCACTGGTTCCAATCGAGTTGTTCTCATACCGTATAACGAAATGTAGTGAGTTTGCGGAAAATAAGTCAGGAATTGTCCACAGGCTGGGAGTAGCGGAAGAGAAATGAAGAAGGAGAATGAATTCGACAAGTATTTTAATTGCTTCTGTAAACATGGTTGCTTTGTCAAATTTTAACGTAGCACGGATGACACATGTATTGAAATGGGTACAATGCATCTAATAAAAAAATCTGCTGGTATGAAATAAATAATGGTTTGGCTTCTAAGTAACCCATTTATAAGATTTGTAGAGAAATTTTTGGTCGATTTCTTTGCTAAGACCTTCAAAATCAAAAGTGAAGACCAGGACAAGCAAGCGCTGAAATAAGAAAGTTGTTGTATTATTGATCAGATTTTCTTCTTTAAATCAATAACGCCTACAAGTTTCGTAACGATGTAATTTTTACATAAAATATGTAATGTACTTGTAGTTGTCTCAATAAACGATTTACAAACTTGAATTGTCAACACTTTACTGTCCAGAGAACACTTCACCTTTAATCTTCTATATTAGATAAATATACATACTTGTTCTTTTTGGGTATAGCTTGTCATATATAGTTTAATGTAAGGTTTGCATGTGCAGTATGTATAAAAATATGTATACAGACATATTTATATGCTTCGTACGAAGGATATCCCGGTGTTTCATAAATGGTTTAGAAATCTATTATAATCACGCGTGTAACAACAACGAAACTACACGCATACATATTAGATATTTTGCAAATTCAACAGTGACACATACAGCCATGTTTTTCACGGATACTGCAGATTTTAATTTTCAGACGAAATCGTCTTTACAAAAATTCCGAAATTAATTTCCTACTATTACATATTTTTTTATATAAGGCTGACACAACTTAAATTATTCAAATGGCAAATAGGTAACTCAGAAATATGTATGTGAATATGTATGCGGCTTAAACTGCATTCATTATTGAGCTTCAAGTAGAAGCATTAAGAACATGTCCAGTACATTATACGCTGTTAAGCATGTATGATTAAATGACAAAAAATATGGCAGAAAAACAATAATAATTCATAAGTATTGCGTACATACATATGTACATATTTAATTGTGTCCTACATCACACATGCTCCACGTAAATACGTACGTCACATGTGTTACATAATCAACGGCATGATAAACCTAAACATCTCAAGTTCCGTACACCAAATAATTGGCAAATCTCATCATCGTTTCGTTCTTCGCATTAGTTTAACACTTTGATTTGTAGTGGTGTGATTTTAATTCCCCATTCCGACAAACAACACACTTGAACCTTCCACTGGCAACATGTGAGCTTTTTGTTAATATCAACTCGATTAAATCTACACATGCTTGCATTTTACATAAATACAACGAGAATTGAGCAACTTTAATCAGTCCACACCTTCGCACACACCTTCCAATTTGCCAACTTGTTGCTACATACTCTTCGCAAAATGAAGACATTGTTCGGAATTTTTGCCACTTTTGCAGCCCTGGCTGCAGTATCAGGTAAAAATACAACTAAAAACGTAGGTAGCGATATATGAATCAGGATTATATTTTACATTAATATGAATTTTTTAATATAGCGTACGTTATTTCCGGTGGCAGCAAAACGGTTGATCCCGTCGAATTTGTGGGAATTTCAGGCTCCAAAATTTACCTGAGAGCTCAAAGCGAGAGTGTAAGTATATCAATTTTGTTGTAATTAGATCCATTCACGCGGTCTTTACTAATTCGTAACTCGTAAAAGGTCGTAAAATCCGTAACTTGGGAAAAAATAATTTTACAAAGTTTTACTAAATGCGGAAAAAAGCACACGATTGGACAAACTTTGCAAAGCTTTGTTAACTAATTTCCATCAGAAATGTGTGTAGAATTTTGTGATTTAACAGAATTTACGGATTTTATGCATAATATTGAGGCTAAAGTGAATTGCCTTATTTTACATAATCTGGAAATCATGGCACTGAAAATTTCTTAATAAAATTTACAGGGAGTGGATTTTCCCCAATATGTCGACTTCTGTCAAAGGAACGGTTTAAGAACTGCGAGCATTTTATCCGCCGCGGAACACGAAGTGGTCCGCGCATACATCAATGCAAATAATTGTAAGGGGAAAAAAACATTTGGGGGTATTCATTATAAGTTAGCAATGCTAGCAAAAAAGAAGTTCGAAAAAAAATTGCCTTAAAAATTAATCCTTGAATTTGCACATTGTCAAAATTGTTATTGTTAGTTAGCATTTTTTTAAAAATTAAGTTCCGACGCGAAAACAATGGAGAGATGAGGCTGGTCCAGTAGTGTGCAAATCTTTACCCGATTTTTATCGCAACCCGACCCGTACCCGATCGGGTTGGGCTTTATCGGGTTTGTTCCTAAACTGACTCACACATTATATGTAAATTAATCAGGACAAACATTTTATAAACTCTACTCGATAGGGCTACGGACGAGTCGAGTTTACCCGGGTTGACCCGCAATCCGAATCACCTCAAAATAAATATTTCGAACTCGTAATGAATACCTTCATTGAAACAAATTGAAATTGAAAGTATTCAAAAATTTAGTAAAAAAATACCTTTTTCTTTTCACCTAGTCCGAAATATGTGGATCGGAGCCTGGGACATAAACCACGAAGGGAATTACACCTGGATAGAGACGGCAAGAGAGCTGGAGTACTCGGACTGGGGGCGCGACGTTGTTGGCAAAACCCGACCCAGTTACAATTGCGCTTTTATCGGATCGAGATCCAACGGGGCTAAATTCTACGACTCGCCCTGCACTTCCTGGTTTGTGCCGCTTTGTGAGGCGAAGTTAGTGGTGTAAAATGCAATAAGGAACAATTTTTGTGGCACGAATTATATTCATATCTCACTTCAAAATGTTGAAAATAAATATTTGTTCATTATTCACTTTTCATTTATTGGTACATATTTATTTTACTTTACGTTTTTAAAGCAGACCCTTTATGCACGGTGTCATTAATTATTTTGCACTTGTGTAAGTCAAGATCTGCAATATTTCATGTGGACGGATGTTCAACTTTACTCAATAACTTTGAACCTGACTTTCACAGATGAAGTAATTCTTTTCATCCTGCTGCTTGTTACTGGACCAGAATAAAGTACAAAATCTGGACTTTAGCATGTAACCTGGTGAATAAATCCAGCAAACAAAATTACGTAATACATACATACATAAGTAAGTAAGTAGTGATGAGTAGCCATTCATTCACGTCCAAAGCTTGGCATGCTTGACACGAACGAATAAAAAAGTATGGAGCCATTTATTTATGTACCAGTACTGCCGGTATTGAATAGTGTACATATGTACAGGGTGGTTTAAATGTTACGCTGTAATGGTAAATTTTCAAAAGGGAGAAATTCCTAAATAAAATTTTGTACAATTTGTACTTTTTAAATTAAATAAAAATTCTACATTTTAAGCATTTTGTGATTTGGGTTCCATCAGTTTTGTTACGTATTAATTAAAGGCTCAAGCCCAAAGTTGTAACTTTAGGGATTTTTCCGTTGCAAAATTTTCTCGAAATTTAAACAACCCTAAATGCATCCTGTTAAAACTACTAATGTAAAGCCGTCGTCATAGCCCAACTTAAATACGGATAAGTATTCAACTCTATGCTTCAAGCAATTACTAAATATGCTTGGAAATGTGATAACGCAACACTGGACTGGATCACACATACATAAATACCAAAGTCGGCTCATACACCGAGTTTACTCTTACATATCTGCATTCTTCATGTCCTACTCACTGTTTAAGCTGAATGAATTGATAAGAGAATTATGTATTTACTAGTAGTGAATGAGAATAAATTCGTATGCATGCTACCATAGCCATACAGACTAGATAAAATAAACCCCAGCTCACTTAATTAATTGCACTTTGCATTGATGACGCTTTTCATATTCACTTTATTTCTTGCTCAAGTGGAACGATCAACATATGGCACGATTTATTTGGTGAGCATATTTTTCCCATTCGGGAGCTTAAAAATTTAGTAAAAATCGGTGTCAAATAATTTTAAAATAATTTTTTAACAATAGTAAATTTGTAGCACAAAATGACGACTACAGCGGGCAAATCAAAAACTTACGGTGACTTTGAAGTCATCCCACCAGCAATTGGTAAAGGTTCTTTTGGGAAAGTCTGGAAAGTGATGAACAAAACGGACAAATGTCACTACGCTTTGAAACAAATTTGTATCGGGAAAGTCCTACCACATTATAATCTTTCTTCGCTATTTGAAGAAGTTCGAGTTCTCCAAGCAATTAATCATCCAAACATTGTGCGATATCATACAAGTTGGTTGGAAGGCCCGAATAAAACAGAAATTAAGGACAGAACGCTAAAATTGTCGAAAGATATGAGCTCCACAGGGCTGCAAAGCGATTTTTTCTTTATCCAAATGGAACTTTGCGAAGCGACTTTGAAAATGGTTGTCGACAATGGCGCGGTTAATTTAGGCATTCCTGCCCTGTTGGTCCAGATATCTGAAGCACTCGATGTAATCCATAATAAAAATATTGTTCACCGTGACTTAAAACTGGACAACATATTTATTTCCCAAAACTTGTGGAAAATTGGGGATTTTGGGTTGGCAAGATTATTGAACAATGAAGTTGGAGGCCAAGATGAATCCGTGATATCGAAGAAAGGGTGTCTAAAGTATACTAGTCCAGATGTCGGTTGTAGCAAAAAGTCGGATGTTTACTCACTAGGCGTAGTATTTCTGGAAGTGCTTTACACAGTTGTGTCAAAGCAATATGGTACATTTGATATGGAACATTATGAGGAAATCATAGTCAAAGTGGAGGCAAAGTTTAGACCAGAATGTGAAATTATTTCGGAGATGCTTGTGGCTGATAAAAATACAAGGATATCTTCAGCGGTTTTGAAGACCAAGATAAGTGAACTGTACGGCTTTCAAGAGGGTGGAATTATAAGTCAGGTTGGAAATTATTACTTTACGAATTTGTGGTAAGTAATTATAACCTTCATGTAGCCAATTACAGAGTCCCGGCCCTTCCAAGTTGACAACTGATCGGACACAGAGCAAGATAGGGTCAACAACCGGACGAACTGGTAATTCCTAAACACTCACTTAAGTTTTCCCCATTCTGACACTAATAGACGACCTTTCAGTTTTTGTAGACATTGAGAGCTTGGTCACATTATTTATCCAAGATATGGATATTCTGAACCGAACGAATTACACTGAACTTTGTGAAGCCCTTTGTCTTCAGTACATTGACTATGCCCAACACGTTAAAGCCTTGGTCAACGAAAATATTAATATTGCAAACTTTCTTGAGACGATACTCAACCTCTGGGTGGGTCAATCAGGAGAAGCAGCCACCATTGGGACTTTGTGCGAGGTATTAAAGACGCGTCAACTTCCGAAGTTGGCTGGTAAGGATTAACTTAAATTTATTTGAGCTGTCAATTGTGGTGTTAACTAACGATTATAACCGTTAAATTTTACCTTGATTTTAGAAAACTTATTACAAAAGTTTCAGCCGAGCTATCTTATTAAAGCACGAGTTACACCATCCCGGTCTATCTTTTCTCCAGTTCGTTTTGGGGAATACAAACCATCGGTGAACTTTGTCGGACGGAAGGCAGAACTTGCAGAACTCGCAAGGCTGATGAAATCTAAGAAATTGGTCGTAGTCACTGGACTGCGTGGTGTTGGAAAAACCGAATTTTGTCGAAAATAGGTTGCCAAGTTTTGTAAACGAGAGAAGGGAAACTGCCTCTGGTTTCATGGGCAAAATGATGCTACAATACTAAACTCGCTGGCTCAATTAGCTTCCCAGCTGGATATCGCAATTACACAAAAAAATGCAGGCTTATTAACCTACGTTCGCCCGCTGTTTCGGAACTTGGCTATAGTTTCCGAGAAGACGCTAATTGTCATCGACAATGTGGACAATTCCGCCCAAAGTCAACTGGTTTTCAAGTTTATAAACGATTTAAGAAATTTGAAAATCCCCTTTGTTTCCATTAGCATTCTTATCACATCGTTTGACGACATTACGCCGCAAAAATTATCCGGAGAGCTTTTCAAGCTTAACTCAATGAGCTTGGAAGACGCCACAAAACTAGTTAGACAAAATTTGGGTGTAAAAACTAGCGAAAACGATGACACCCAATTGTTGTGCGAGTTTCAAAATTTCCCGCTTCATCTACAACATGCCGTGCATTACATAAAGAGCAAGAGCTACGAGCTCTGTGGCGGCTTCAACGTTAGCGATTACCTATAACTATATCGCCGAAATCCTGTTCCAATGGACACCTGGGATATCAATATTGAAGAAATTAGAAGTGATCCAGATAATGGGGAGCTTGCCATCAAACTACTTGTACTAATTTCATGCTTAGACCCAGTAGGTGTGAAGGACGAACTGCTATTCATCTTGCTGAATGAGGCAGAAGCAGCTGGAGATTCCTGTAATTTTGAAGAGCTCGGATATCAAGTAATTTACGATGCCATTACCGTAATAGGGAAGGAAGTGACATCAGTTGAATATTTCGAATCTACCGCTAAGGCAAAGAGAGCACTGGACCTGCTGCACAGATATTCTCTGGTTACCTCCACAGATTCTGTAATATCGATGCACCGATTGGTACAGGAGGATGTACGCCGAAAAGTCATGAACGAAGAAATTTATTATGGGTATTAATTACACATAATCCTCTGTCAATAAAAAATATGCCTGACCATAAAATTTACACGTTATTATAGAGTCCCTCCACATCAATCCGACCAAGACTATAACGTAGACCACCTCAGCAGCCTACGAAAAATGGGAGCCTATCTCGCCAGAACGACACTAGTTCAAGGTTCCCTTAAAGTAACGCCAGAATTGATGCACTTTTACTACACGTATGAATATGGAAATGAGGAGAAAACAATTGAAAAAGAGTTAAAACCATTGCCACTTTACATTTGCTGCACGGCGTTGGATATCTGCGCAAAAATGCCGACCCTGATAACCCAATTATCTTCCGCAATTCAATTATTGGTACCAGTAGTGAGAAAACATTGGAAATTAAGTCAAAGATTATCACTGCTCTAAAAGACCCTACCTACTTTGCCGAATTTGTTCGAGGACTGAAGCTAACCTATGGGGCGTATCAAATAATTGTGACGGATAAATATCCAGATGTCCTCAATTTTGTGGTGATAGGCTTCCTGTTAGCCATCTGTCTGTTTCATTCGGGAAACGTTAAGGAGGCTACAGAGCTAAGGGCGGAGGTCTTAAAGTGCATTAATTCCGTTTTCAGCAAACATGATGAAAACTTCCTTACGAACAAGAAGTGGAGCCTATGGTCGTTCCAAGATATTTTGAACTGGCGCCGGAACCAGGCAGGTGCCCTTGCTATTTTGCAACAACAATATCCGGAGACAGAGAGTCTAGAACACAATTTGGGCTTGTGTCTCTTAGCGATGGGTAGATTTGCAGAGGCTAAGATTATGTTGAAAGCAAAGTGGAAAGCAAAGTGGAAAGGGGACAATTTGGAGGGTGGTGACTTAAATATCTCCACTCTAAATAGCAAGAGACTTTTGTTCTACTGCATAACACAAATTCCCCAGCAGCGAGAACTTGGGATTAAGAAGTTGGAAGAAATCACGTCACAGTACGAGTCGCTTGACGGGGAAATGGATAATAATTTTCTGCAGGGGACGAGAAAGGTGTTGGAAGTGGTGAAGAAAAACCAGTTTACCCCAATTAGTCCGGGTAGTACAGATGGATTCGGGGGGATGGGGTCGATCAAAGATAAATTGTATTGTCCGCAATGCAACATCCTTTGAATCAAATAACGGAATGCGTTAAATTTAGCCAGATATCATTCTCCAGATATTGAATTGGACTGTTCTTAGATTGAAAGAAAAGTATACTTTATGTCGGAATATTTCGATTGCTACCTGGCATTTATGTATGATCAAGAGCTAAATATGTATAAAAAATTGTTACAAAAATACTAAGTAAAATTAATACACTTAGAATACACTAAATATATGAAATATTGACATCTCTATTTAAATAATTTCTGAAATTAGAAACAGAGTGAGCAATATCGTTAAATTTTACATAGCAATATCGTTAAATTTCGGCTTCTCGGTATGTAGGTGGTCAGCTTTCTGGCATGTAATGTAATGTCGTGCACGATGATTGTGCTGGAAATGATGATATGAATTGATCCACTGAATAAAATAAAAGATGGGACAAATTATGTCTCCCTATCAATTATTTATTAAATAATCCGGAAAATTTAGTTATACATAGTCAAGCATAAATATTGAAGGCCAAATAAATATGTACAAACTACATACTGAAACCGAGGCTGACATGAGTATTGCAGTCCAATAGATTTAATTTATGTTAAAATCTAACCGCTCTTATATAAAAGTCAGAAAATTAAATTCCATAATTCATTAGGTTTTATAATCCCACAAAATCTTAGCCTTTACATAATTTTGTAGTATGAATTTTAAGAAGAAATTATTAACAATGTAGGATCATACCATTATGACATTCTAATTGATGTAGCTGGAGATAAAACTTTAGCTGTAGAATTATTTTAGAGATTGATAAAACTGGATCCCAATAAAAAATTAACTAGCATTTAATAAAATTCGAATTTGATATTCTCAAGCGATTCGGTTAATAAATCGAATTAATGCAATCAATATTTTAAATATTTATAAATATTCATAAATATTTAAAACTCGAATACGTATCCCTTTTCTGATAGTCAAACCCCTAAGATACATACATATTTATATATATGGCAAATTGAAAATGCAATAGATATTCACTCTAAATAAAGTTGTGCAGAAACTTATCCAAGGTTAAATAAAATACGGGATTCAGTAATAATTAATCCCACCTTATATAAAATGTTACGCAATCGTTGTGTAAATTTTACTTAATTTTTATGTTATCCTTGATCGTACTCAACCATGAGAAACTTGTGTACAACTTTATTTGGAGTGCTCGTGTCTGCCAATCATATTTATAAACTTCTTGTATACGTGCTTATAAATATTATTTATCAATATTGCTTTTCTTTATTTCACCAAGCTTAATTAACATAGGAAAAAGCAATAATATTAGTCTTTAGTAAGCCTGAAACCCTTAATAGACCTTTCGTGCGTACATGGGACCCCATCCATCCACAGGAAATTACGTCTGCAATTTAGAATTATTATTTGTTGCGTTGCAGAAGTACTGCGGAGTGGATGTAAGAACATATTTCATTAAGGCTAAACATTTACATAAATCAAGTAATAAACTGGGCTTCGGAAATTAAGCAAGAACATCATTAACCTTTTGAGACTGTGCTAAACTAACATTTCAGCTTGAACATGGACAGCATTTGGCCAGTTATTGACACTTACGGGAAAGCATTCTCACACATGTGGCGATTTCCTGTTAGTTTTAATCCATCCGAAAAACGGGTAACACTCCTCCCCCGGAACAATTACCGGTATTGGGTGTGGAAGGCACTTGGGTATCTACTACCCTTCTACCTTTTTACCGGGATTACCACACTTGTTTGGGTAAATCAGACGAAATACAGGCATCCAATCAAAATCGAGCAAATCGTGATCTGTTGTTTAACCGTGGTTACCATGACAATAGTGACGTCCGGCTGGTTTGGGGTAATACTGTGGGGTAATGTGTACTCTAATATGATGAACGAGCTGAATGATGATTTCGACGAGCTGGTGCAACGTGAGGACATTTATTTTTATGTAGTTTTCTTAACAATTTTTAAAGCGATATTTTAATTCGATATAAAATTGTATAGACTTTTCCATACAACTTCTTGCATAAGATTTATTGCATAAATTCCGCTTAATGTACGATAATTTTTACGATAAAGTGTAACGTTACCGATTGCCTGTGCAATTTGTGGCAAATTTCACGTATTGGTGCAATGTTATGCTAAGCTTGCGTACAGAATTAATAATTATTAATTATGTAATAAGCGTATTATGCAAAAGTGGTTTGTGCCTTTTCAAATTTAACCTATTATTCGTATTTTAGAATGTGCTCCACCCAGTTTAAAGAAATCCAGCTCCACAATTACAAACGTGCTCCAAGTCGTCATGATTCTCTATGCCGCTTGTCCCTTGTTCGTCATCCCGTTCTTTCTCTATTTGAACTTTCACCCACCCAACCTTTTATCAATTTTGGTTACGTCATCTTTGGAAATTCAAATTTTCCCGGGTCCGGTACAATGGATCATATTCGCGCTGAGATTTATCCCTAACGCCATCATAACTCTGGATGGTTCTCGAATGCTGGCATTCTTTCATTTCCGGATTTCCAACATTTCCGGATTCTCAACCCTCATCATTGCTTCCACATTTCAAACCCAACTTTTACAAATTATCGAAAATTCTACAAATTTTACAAAACTACACATCTCCCTCGAATTTTATGACAGATTACGGATAAATTTTCAACACGGGAGAATTATGATGATGAATATCTTTGCCTTGTTTTTCTTTGGGCTATTCCTCTTCGGAACTAGTTTAGCATTTTGTAGGGTAAAGTTACATGGAAAATTTCCTTGGCAATTTTCCATCTTAGCGCCGACCTTTTTCGGAATGACGTGTGCCGTGGGGGACGTCGCTATTCCGATCCTTATTAATTGTGCGAAGGTTCCGGTGGAGTGGTTAAAGCGGGTGAAAATAGTTGTGGGTGGGTGGTCCGGACCAAGGAGGGCGTGGGGGAAGAGGATAGTGAAATCGAGACAAACCCAATGGGTCGTTCTGGGCGTGGGCGACGTAAAGTTGTACGGGATTACGAGTCAGACAAAATCAGCGACATTGTTTCTTATTATTGATTACACGATTACGTTACTACTGTCAATTAATGTGTAGGATAATTAATTAAACTATAAATTATGGGCGGGGTCGTCAATTGTTTGCATCTTTAGCAATATATGTAAAAACCGTTTACAGTGTTAGCAAAATTTTTTGGCTTGAAAAATTCTTTGCATACTCTTTCATCTCCAGGATTACAGATACATGTTGTGGAATGTATGTTTCAAATAAGTTTATAATAAATAAGAAATGTATAACAAATACGATGGACATCGCATGGCCATGGAAAGATCAATTCCTTCGAATGGACGTTTACTTACCATTAGAATACAATACTACATAATGCGTTATTTATGGACCTATACTTGGACTACTCCAATTAGGAAACCCCGGCTTGCTAGGAATTTACATCAAAAATGCAACAATACAGGGTCAACGCAGAGGCGTTCCTTGGTTTGGGACGGCCTGGAGCACATATTTAGTCCGGCCTTTTCAAAAACGGTGTAAAATATCTAGTCATTGCGACATTGTATGAATCTAGCTTCAAAGTGTCTCGTAAAATTAAGTGCCATCTAGCCCTCTATATCCATCTTTCAAACCGCGGAATAAATTTTACATGAAATAATTTTGGATTTGTTGTTGGAAATGTTGGGAATGTTGGAGAGATTTTTCAAATGTTTTTGACATTCTCAAAAGTGGGTGCGATACATTTGGTCCCTATAAGCCTACTGTCCTTGTTGCAGATTGTGCTAAATCAATTACTAAAGGATTTGAAGAGTCGTTTGGAAAAGAGTTTGTCCGTGTATACTGTTTTTTTTCATGTTATGAAAAATGTTAGAGCTAAGCTACTTTATTTTAAAAATGCAACCCATAAAAATCAGATTTTGAGTGATATACGATGTATGCAATTAGCCGACTCAAAAGAGGAGTTTGAAATTTGCAAAAAGCTTTTTGTGAGCAAGTAGAAACAGGTAGATGAAGTTCGACAATTTGTGGACTACTTCAAATCAGAATATCTCGATCAGAGGGATGGATGAGGGGTTGGCTCCTGGATGCCCTTCAACCAACAATGGTCTCGAGTCAATTAACTCTGTAATTAAAGAGGAAGGCACTTACAGGGAACGAGTTCCGTTAAGGCAATATTTTGGGTGTATTTTGAAACTTCTTCAAAATTGGTCTCGAGATAGAAATCCTGAAAATCCGGGCAGTAAATGTTTTCAAATCACACCATCAATTTCAAATCTGTTGATTTCAAATTCATATACTTGGGCACGGGAGCATACAGGACTTCGGTTCCAAAACCTGAATGAAACTTCAATTCAGTTTATTTCACCAGTCGGAAATCAATCTATTCGAAGAGAAGAAATTGACAGAATCCTTGGTTTAATCAAAAGACTGTCCTGGAAAAAATTCGAGTCATACTTTTCAAGCAAATCAGCATTCTGGATTATCAATTTCCAATTGCCTGACTGGATTTCTTCCACTTGTTCTTGTCCCACATTCAAAAAAGAGTATATTTGTAAGCATATTGTTGGAATTTGCATAATTAAAAAGACAATGGTTGTGCCGGATAACCTTAAAACTAATGGCATTGGGAGCAAACCCAAGCGCGGTAGAAAAAAGTTCGTTGGGAAGGCTTTGGTTGTTGACTAAATACAAATGCCTTCTTATTTATTGTACAATTTTAATTAATGATATGATGTCGATTATTTCGATTTGAATTAAGAAAATTAAATTATTTTGTTGGAAATTTTAATGAAAATTGTTGTAAAATAAATCAATTGGTTGCACATTGCATGATTGACGAATCAATTAATTTTGGTTGGAATAAACAATATTTTCGTAGGATGGTATACAATAAATCCAAATAATGTTGGGCTCATTTTAATTTCTTTATCACTGATTGTAACTATAATTTGTTAGGCAAGTAACAATAAGTAAGTCACAATATGTAAGTTACAATTTTTTGTAATAATTCCAATGTCTGGGTCCCTTAGAATCAAAAACGGTACCGAGGGAGACCCATAGTTTAACGTTTACAGGAGTACGTATGACTAACCAGAATATGATGCATTAATTCTGGCACCATACCACATAAGTAAGATGTTATGGTCGTAGTGCGGGAGGAAGAATTCATTGATTCAAATGTCGAAACAAGATGCAGAGTCTGACATTACATTAGATTAAGATATGTCCAAATTTTCAAGAAGAAAGTGTTCAAATCTAACACTCAATTGTATAAGAGAATCACTCAAAACCACAAAAGATTTTACACCCGTCGAGGAAAGAGAATGGCGAAAACCAGTGTCCCTCGAAAAACGACAATTACCTTCGTCTTGCACAATGACCACAAATTTTCAGGGCGACTAGTACTCCTCCAGAATCAAAAAATATTTTCCACTAGCCTATAAG